ATCACCGCTCGCGCGGCTGCATTCTGGACTAACTGGAGCCTCCGAGTGCTCCTCAAGGGGAGCCCCATGTAGAGAGCATTGCAGTAGTCCAGGCGGGAGGTGACAAGAGCGTGAGTAACTGTGCGCAAGGCATCCCGGTCCAGAAAAGGTCGCAACTGGCGAACCAGGCGTACCCGGTAAAACGCCCCCCTGGCCACGGAGTGTTGTGGAAGTACTGTAACTGAATGGCTGATATTTGATAAACAATTCAGTACTTACACTGTAATCAGGGGAGGTTCATATTCCAGTTCTGCAGTAAAATCTTCTCATAAACAATTTCGACTTAGTTTAATGGGACTTACAACAACAAAAAAAGGTTCTAGCCTAAAGCACGTCCATACGGTTTTATTTTTTTCTCAGATATTCTTTCTCCTTTTCAGAACGTGCTGCATTTTCATCTATATTTTCCCATCATTACAAATACTTGTGATAGGGATACAACCACACACACACGCACACGCAGACACACACACACACATTTAAAAACACCTATAATTATGCAAGTTCTAGCTCTATGTGTTTACTATTGTTACTTTTTTGGCAACCAAGAAAATAGGCTTTATGACCTTTTTACCATCCTCCCTTTCGAGATGGAGGTAATAAGTAGGGTACATTCCACGGTCCATTCCCTTCTTGTCTCTTGTAATTCGGCATTTGACAGTAGCTCCTTGAGGAGCAGGCCTCACAGCAAACTCCTCCAAATCATCCACATCTATTACAGGGTTATTGGTTGAAGGGCTGGGCCCTGACGCTGTTTCCTAGAGGAGTAGGAAAAGTTGCATCACATTTTAAATATACAAACAGCCATTAATGTGGAGAGAAATCTTAATAGAAATCTGGTACTGTAAAGGCAACATAAAAAACCCAGGGAATGCATGCATTCTGGACAGCTAACTTTCCACACAAAAGAACACATGGGAGAATGTAATGCAATGGAACAAAACTGGGTGTGACCTGGAAAGATGTACCAAATGTTGCTTTTCAGCCTATTCATTGTCTCTTATCTGGCCTCTACAGGTATTGCAAACATCGGCAGCGCATGAATGAAACGCAGTAAAGCAGCACAATGTGCCTGCTTCTCTTTGATCCTGAAATCAAGGGAGTGGCATTGTTTTGCAAACCACGTTTCCCAAAGTGCTTCGCTCAAACCTTTGTTGGAGCAAAGAACATCCTTTGGAAATGTACAAAGTCTTGTTGGAAGATTAATGATGACAACCAGCTCAGAAGAATCTTAATAGGTTTTAGTTGGTCTTAGACCTGCAGCCTAGCATAGCACTTTGTACTGCTGATAGCAGCTTAATGGGGCCAAAGCCTGAAGAAAAGGAGTATTTGTCAAAAAAAATAATCAACAGTATAATAAACTCAATCTAACTTGATAATTTGAAAGTTAATGATATTGAAATTCTCCCTTATCTGTGATTAATGCCTGGTTATTTATATATAAGATAAAATACAGTATTTGGTAAAACATTTCATCACCAATATTTATTATTAATACGTATATATTACATTTAAATGCAGCCCATCTCACCATTGTTTTGCTACTTTCCAGACTGGTTATTAAAAACCATGGATCTTATTGGGAGTTAGGAATTTTGTAGGCAACATATCAATACTATAACCAATATTAGCCTTGCAGGATAGTGAGGGTAGAAGGGAGGGGCTACACTGACTTTCTAAAACTTTAGAACAGGGGTGTCAAACTCATTTTCATTGAGGGCCGCATCAGCATTGCGGTTGCCCTCAGGGGGCTGGGTGGGTGAGGCCAGGGTGGGTGTGGCCTACTGTGTGAGTGTGGATGGAGTGGGTGTGGCCTACTGGGTGGGTGTGGCCAGCTCTACATCTTTCGCGTCAAGGGGGCCTGTGGGGGCCTGAACAGGAGTGGGACAGATCTGAGGGTCTCTGGCAGAAGGGGGTGGAACCAGGGCAAGTGCCAAGGCATGGTCCACTGGAGGAGGCTCACTGTTCCTCTCAGGCCATGCGGGGGGGGGGGGCTTATGGAGCTAAGACTGAATGCGTTTCAGCATAGATGGCCACCACAAAATTGTACATTGGCTCCCGAACAGCCTGGACCAGGGCCAAGGCAGAGGGGGCTGTTCCCTCACTGTTTCCAGGATGGCTTCGCGGGCCACATGAAACCACTTTGCGGGCCACATCCGGCCCCCGGGCCTTGTGTTTGACATGTCTGCTTTAGAATGTAGTCATGGAGCTTCTTCTAAGTTTCAATGCTAAAACTTTCTATTTTATAGGCTATATTTTCTTTTTCTAAAAATATCCTTTATTGGCAGTGCCAGTTTCACCAATCATCCCCCATTCACCGAATACCATAAGATTCTATTGTGAAGTTTTTACCCTTTTATAAACAGCTTTATTCAGCTCTTTGTATACCAAAAAGAATTAATGGAATAAATTGCAAAGAATGTGCGGAAGCAATTCCTTGTTCTATTTCTGCATCCCCTAGAATATCGCACTGCAGATGTGGTGTTATAGTTGCATCAAAAAAAATGAAAAGAGTAAATAAGAAATGGTTCTATGCTTTAGCAAAGAGCTCAGGACAGACGTGAAATCTTTTGAGGGGAAAAATTGTTACGAAGACTCCAAACAGACAAGATAAGTCTAAGTTATTGTAAATGTCTAGTTTAGGTAACTCTGAGGTCTGTTTAAGTCCACCGCATCAGATCACTCACCTTATTTGACTTCTTGCTTGTTGCAGAACCTGGTCGGGTATTACTATTTAATTGTGAAGAACTTGAGCTATCTTCATCTTCCTCATCCTCCTCTTCATCAAAATTCATGCTACTTGAAATGCCTAAGAGATAGTCATTATATTTATAGACTATATGGCTACTGCATAATCAAAACTGCTTGCTCTCAGAACATGTATTTTATTTACTATATCAAAGCTTCTCATCTCCATCAGTTTTGAAGTACTAGGAAAAAGCATACCTTGGATTGCAGAAGAGTGAAACTGCCTTTAAGCCCTGCCTTTATAGGGCAAAATCCTGATTAAGCAAACTGGTTCAACTCAACATGACAAATCCCACGCCAATGCATTTTGCATCTTATTCTTACATAAATTTAAAAATTGTGATATGGGCCTTTCATCATTTCTTTTTCAATTGTGTCCACAAAGGCTGGCACTGTATGGCATAATTCTGTACTTGCCAATTCAGTGGCACTGGATTCAAATGTTCTTAAATTCCTAGGGTGCACAGGTGCAAAACTAAGGTATTTATGCTTCTCTTATTAGTGCAGTGTAGCAGTTATCTATCAATATGATGCTTTTAAGACCATGTAAGATCTACTAATGTCTGCTCATATTCTTACAATAACAGTATTGACAGTATTTAAGAAGTGGAACTTTGGTAAAATGTAACAAAATGTTATTTGCTCTTTTAATTTGCTTCACTGAAAAAAAAATGAAGAGCAGAATATTTCCTAATAACTGATGCTGCTAGTGATAATTTTGGCAAGAATATTAAATGAAACATTTGGTGCCTTTCTGCCTAATCCGTATTTCCTGCCCACTTAATTTATCTACCAAATTACAGCAAGAGTTTCTAGAAGCTTCATGGGGAAATAACATAGATTAGTTAATGGCAAACTTTGGTCAGTTACCAGCAAACATGTTAAGCAGATAAATTCAATCCAGGACCAAACAATTGTAAGACACACAAAATATCTGCCAGATATTTTTCTAATTCCCTTCTGTTGCTTATTAGATGGTATGTGGAGAGGCCCTGACATTTGAGGAATCAGACATATTTCTAATATCACTTGGAGGCTGCCAAGCTCGACTATCTACTGTATTTTATGAATTTTGCTTATTGCTAATAACATATCCCAGGCTTCAAACTAAGTTTTCCTAATGGATGCATTTGAACATCCTGGGATTACAATACAATCCATTAGCATTTTTTTGTATGGAGAGACAGGTAATTATATAATGAAACTTCAGCTTTGTACACTGCATAATTTACTGGCCCTAAGTAATGCCTACCCACAAACTATATGAAACCTCAATCTTTTTTGTTATCTGACAATGCCACAGGGATGCATACTGGCACAATTTTGCAAGTGTATGTGTGTGTGTGAGAGAGAGAGATGATAATTATGATGATGATGATGATTGACTGATGATGATGACATAAAAAAGTATAGGTTTACTTTTGCTCTTTCCTCCTCATCCTGCAGACACCATGATGAAAAAGCCAAAAATATTTGAAAATATCACTGAGTTCTTACCTTTCTTCTGCATTGTTACTCTAATGTCTTGTTTGCCTTGTTGTTGGCTGGTAGCTATCATCTCTCCATCATCCTCATCATGGCAAGATTCTCCAACAGTAAGAATTTGAACTTGGCTGCCTGCTACCTGTACTTCATCTTGAAAAGCAGCTGGACCATCAATACCTACCAACCAAGAATTGCAGCAATGTCATATAATATATAAACAATAAAATAATTTATGTCCATATATATTTTTCTAATTTGGAAAGAGGAAAGTGTATTTTGAAATAATAAAATATTTTGAATCTTTTGTAAAGCAGTTTATGCACTTCTCATTCTTTAAGGCTTTAAAAAATGAAGAAATTGCAAACAATTGGCCATTATTACAAAATGTTAATGTTTTAACAACTTTTCATGCAAAAATATACTAAAAATGGATAAGTATGATCTATTTCCCTCTTTGGCTACTATTTTTAATTTGTTTCATCCACCTTACTTTTTTAAAAAACTAAGGCCCCGAATTCATTCTCACATATTCCACAATAAATATTTAAAGTGCCAGATTACGTATGCACTCTTTTAGATTTGTTCAACCATTAACTGCTATGTATGAATTAGCACATATAATTTAAATTCTCACAAAGCTAGGATGCTTTTACAAAGTTTTCATGAGGTTGCTTTTCTGGAAATTAATGACAAAATCTAAAATACTGTGGGACACTGTAGCTACTGTAATTGTACCAAAATCATCATCATGTGACTATAGGGATGCTGCAATAGCCACAATTACAACTTGTTGAAAGGCCTATCTCACATTTTTTAACATATGTAAGAATAAGTCTTTCAGAGTAATATAAATTCAACTTGACAGGAAATAAGAGTCACTGAAGGTATTATAACAAGGAACAAGCAGAAAAATTTATTAATAAAATGATGAAATTGAGCAAAGTAAAGGGTTACAACTAATCCCAGAAATAAGCAAATAAGTGAATATTTTTGGAACAAAACAGAAACAAAAAGTAGATTAGAGGGTTGGGTTGTTTTTTTTTAAAGCCTGTGCCTATAAAAGACAGCATCTGCCTACTGGACAAACAGAAGCAAATAAGGTTCCTTTATAAGGTGGCAACTATCCAGATAACCACTAGATGGCAACAAAGATCCAGCCCAATTCATTTAATTAATATTCAGAAGTTTTAGAATTATTTGTTAACTAAGATTTTTAGTCTACTTTTCCTTCAGGAATGTGGTGTATATAGCACTCTCTATTTTTCCCCCCCTCATAACTGCTGTGCAAGCTAAACCGGACTAAAAGATTGTATGGCTTAAAATCATCTCAGAGCTTCCATCTAAAGGTGGATTTGAACCCGTGTCTCCAGGTCTTACTGTATTATCTTAACTATAGTACAACCTGAAGAACAGGGGCAGGGCTCCAAGTGATATGAAGAGCAGAACATAGCAGCAACTCGATTTCATAAATGTTAAGATGGAAGCGGGGGGGGGGGGGAGTCTGGAAAAAGCAGTAAAATAACTTAGTGGAGGTGCTATACTATTGTTAGAAATAAATAAATACTGTAAAACTAATTTGCTACTAAAGCTACATTATGAAATTCTACCGCACACACACTTTATTTCTTTAGTTTAGGATCTGCTTCCAATTAAAACAAAAGTGAACTTGTGTAAGCAGTTTTGGTTCATCCCTACTGCATACATAACTGCAGAATAAACAAACTGGTTTGAGCGGATGTAGAGCCGGCTGCTGCTCTGTTCCTTGGAATATTTAATATACTCAAAAGCCTAGTGTCTCCACCATGGTGACATCTGCACATTAGAATTCTAAAGCATGACTAAAAAACTCCATCCCTACTGAAAGCTGGCTCTGTAACTCTTGGAGGAAAGGCTGGATTGCTTTAAAATAAGAATGATCAGAAAATAGCAGTTAAAAAAAAAAAAGACGCCTTGTCTCTTTTTTAAAATAAAATTTACTTTTTCGTACAGCTTACCAGAAAGTCACTTCATCAGCAAGACTTTGATCTAATTCATATCTCTTGATTTTCAAGTGACCCATATTTTAAAACTGTAGACAGCTAACAGGAACATAGTATTTTCAATGACATGATTTCTATGAGAACATGATTTTAGAAAAAAAATTCGCTGAGGATTGTGCAAGGAGGCGGTATTTTCTGATGTATCATCTACTGAATTTCCATAGCATTCTGCCAAAATCAGCACCTCGTAATGGATGAATTTATTGTAACTTAACAAAACAGAGCAGAACAACAGAGTTGGAAGGAACCTTGGAGGTCTTCTAGTCCTACTCCCTGTTCAGGCAGGAAATCCTACACCAGTGGTGGCGAACCTATGGTACGCGTGCCAGAGGCGGCACTCAGAGCCCTCTTTGTGGGCACGCGCGCTGCCGCTGCCAGCAGCTTGTGCAGGTCCATTAGGCCGCCACTGCCGTCCGGAGCGGCAGCTCCACCCAGCACAAAGGAGGCGAAGCAGCCAACTAGAAAGTTCAAGTAGAGGTGGTATAGCACGCCGACACCCAGCAAGTCAAAGGCCACCCCAAGCAGGGAAAGCCGGATCCCCATCAGCACCATGGTCCCCCAGTCCCAACTAGGATTGTGTACCTCCCCCATCTATGCTGAGCCTCCTGCCCACCACCCCACCTGCCAGGGATCCCCTTGATCTCCCCCAACCCTGCCCAGCCCCCACAGGTATCCCCCCATAAGCAAACTCGAGGGGGCCATGTCCACCCCAGCCACACCCACCCAGTCTGCCGTGACAACTGCAGCCATGCTCACCCAGTGGGCCACATCCCCATGCCCCCGAGGGCACCACAATGCTGATGCAGCTCTGGCACTTTGCGATAAATAAGTGAGTTTTAGGTTGTGGTTTGGGCACCCGGTCTCTAAAAGGTTCGCCATCACTGTCCTACACCATTCCAGACAAGTGGCTGTCCAGTCTCTTCTTAAAAACCTCCAGTGCTGCATCATCCTCAACTTCTGGAGGCAAATCATTCCATTGATTAATTGTTCTAACTTCTCCTTAGTTCTAGGTTGCTTCTCTCTTTGGTTAGTTTCCATCCATTGCTTCTTGTCCTGCCTTCAGGTGCTTTGGAGAATAGCTTGACTCCCTCTTCTTTGTGGCAGCCCCTGAGATACTGGAACACTGCTATCATGTGTACATTGTTTCTTTTTATGTGATAGTTTAATGAAAAAGCACTACTAAGATGCAGGGAATTCTCAAATGCTAAGAGTTGGAGTCAAATACCAAGGAACTACATTCATTATACAATCTAATAAAATAAGTTTCTACACTAGATAGGATTAGCCTGAGATTGCAAGTCAGTGCCTGCAGATCTCCAATCTATTCCTTATACTCATTCCCCACATTTTAAGGTTTATTTTGACCATTACTGTGTAGCATATACGGTTTGCAGCTTTTCTCCTCAGCTTTTTAAAAGTAATACTCTCTATTTGGAAGAAAACTTCCACATACAACTATTGTAGGGCAGTGGTGGCGAACCTATGGTACGCGTGCCAGAAGTGGCACTCAGAGCCCTCTCTGTGGGCATGCACACCGTCGCCCCAGCCCTGCCTCCCCCCGCAGCCCCCTCCTCACCAGCAGCCCCCCAGAGAGTCACCCCCGAGTGCGGCCCGTGCAGAGCAGTGCAGCCAAGGAATGGCAGCCGGGCAGCAGGGCCAAGATTCCGCCTTCGCACCCCATTGCATGCAGTTGATGTTGCGGGGCGCGGGCAGAGGGCATGGACGCCATGGTGCTACTGGGCCCCTTGGGTGATCTGTGGCAGGCTTTGGAGGCGGTGGCCCTGCAGGCAGGGCAGGGGACAGGGCGGAGGGGGCGGACCGAGGGGGGGACCGAGGGCAGGGCCGTTTTTTGGGCACTCAGTCTCTAAAAGGTTCGCCATCACTGTTGTAGGGTCTATCTAGCAAATAATTAGTCTGATATAAATTATTTGCAGCAAAAAATTATTTGCATGTAGATCAGAGGCACAAATATCCACACATGTGCATAAGACAGGGCTTTCTCTACACGCATTATGTCCTTTACCTGCAGTACCTGTTTTCTGAGGATTTGAAACATTTACGACTTATGACTACAATTAAGCCCAAAATTTTATGTTGCTAAGCAAGACATTTGTTAAGTGAGTTTTGCCCCATTTTACAACCTTGCTTGCCACAACTGTTAAGTTTGTAACACGGTTAAGTGAATCTGGCTTCCCCATTGACTTTGCTTGGGAGGAGGTTGCCAAAGGTGATCACATAACCCCAGGACACTGCAACTGTCATAAATATGAACCCACTGAATTTTGATCATATAATCAAATGTTGACCACGTGACCATGGGGATGCTGCAACAATCTTAAATACGAAAAATGGTCATAAGTCACTTTTTCAGTGCCATTGTAACTCCAAACAGTCACTAAATGAAACGTTATAAGTCAAGGACTATCTGTATTTAACCCCATCACTACCAATGGTGGAATTTCGGGGGGGGGGAATCATTCCTTCAACCTACAGCTATCACATTCCACTGCCTGCACAGACCAAGTTCTCCAAGTTCAAATATAGGGTACAAATAGAAAACATATCATTTCTATGTGACTGCTGAAGTTGCACCCATACATACATAAAAAAGGACTTTCCCCTTTTTTCTTTCTCTTTGGTACCCTTTCCTTTCCACTGAACCTGGATTGTCCTCAAATGCACTTCAATGAATACCATTCTTAATCTTATCATACTTTAGAAACATAAATGTTAGCTATTTACAGTTATTTGAATTTTATCCCTCCTTTATTATTGGATAACTCAAGATGGCATACATATGTAACACTGCTTCCTCCTCCTATTTTCCCCAAAACATCAATCCTGTGGGTGGTGAGCTGAGAGTGACTGGCCCAAAGTCACCCAGGCAGCTTTCCTGTCTAAGGTAGGCCTAGAATTCCCAGTCTTCCGATTTCTAGCCCAAAACGTTAGGCACTATGACAGGGGTAGGCAACCTTGGCTCTTTTATGACTCGTGGACTTCAACTCCCAGAATTCCTGAGCCAGCCATGCTGGCTCAGGAATTCTGGGAGTTGAAGTCCACGAGTCATAAAAGAGCCAAGGTTGCCTACCCCTGCACTATGACAACATGACGCTGTAAATTGCTGTTATACATTATTACATATTGATACACTAGTACTATATATACATACATTTAAACTTATTAACAGCTCTTCCATTTCAGGCTTTTTGCCCAATTTTGCTTCATTTTTAAGCAGAATTCTGCCTTTTCTTTATGTAAACTGGGTATTAAAAATTAGCTTTTGAATACACTATTTGAAAATTAATTATCCCATAAATTTCTAATGAGGGCGGATATGTAGCTCGTGGTTTAAAAAAGAAAATCAACGGGTTTTAAATTTAATAGTCCATAGGCATTTTTGGCCAAATCTGTAACCACAGTTAAAGAAAAAGTCACATTGTAGAAGAACACCTGCAGTATTTGGCTGTGTCCCAATACATTTATAAGAGGGTCTTTCATGATTGAGATTCAGAAAATCATTCAATGAACATTTTGTAGAGCCTAATGAATATAGAATTAGAAAATACGCCAGCACTTTGGGCTAAAATGAATAGCCTTTACAGAGTCAGAAATCAAATGAATGTTTGTAGACTTAGCCAAGTATTGTATCATGTTATTTCTCTGCATAACCTAAAAATTAATCAGAACACTTTGAATAAGAAGGTATACCTATTTTAGGACACACCATTGGAGGTAGCATTTTGCAAATCTACAAGCATCTTCAGAAGCAGGGTACATTCAAGTGAGATTTGTAAGTTCAGCAACTTCTTGTCCAAAATAATAAACCAAAGGATGAGTTGAGTTACCACAGATAACATAGCAGCAATGTGAGAATCTTGCCAAACCCAGGGATGATATTTGTCACATGGTTTGCACTTGTACAACAGAATCAAGCTTCTTGAGATATTATGTCCTAATCCAAAGCAATTCTCATCACTAAACAGAGGTCTTTATGACAGGGTGGAAGAAAAACATTCCAGCATGAAAACATACTATTTTTAAAAACAATCATGTGTCATTTGCAAAGGGCTTTATGGAACTTTGCATATGCAACAAGAGATACATGCATAAACCTAATACTGTACTGCACCTTGCTCTTTTCCCCCCTAGTTCAAGCAGGATTGATACAAAATGAAACAAGAACCAAAATGCTGNCAGCACCACCTGGTACAACAGACTTTGAACATCCTTTTGCGAAAAGACGAATTTGGCAAAAGTGGGGGTTGGGTTCAGCAAGCTCTACACATGATTATCCATTTTGGAAACTTAGTGGAAACTAGTATGAGCATCCTTTCATAAGTTCCTTTCTTTGTTTAGATTTGGAGAGCTGGGGTTAAGCTAACTTTAGGAAGGCAGAGAATTTTATTGATGTGCATTATTGTGATCTTGTTATTATTATTATTAGAGTGCCGTGCTTCATGTTCCCAAAATCTTGTAATTTGTTTGAAGACATGCAAAAGGAGATAGACAAATCACATCAGAGCTCGCTCAGATGACTTCAGTGGATAACGTAAACTCCTGAAGGATGTATTGCTTAAACAAATCAGTCGGTTAAGTACTGTTCCCTTTTAAATGATATGTCTTATTCTTATTCAGTGATGACCAGCATGCAGCCTACCTTTTTGTTTCCCTTTTTTCTCCTTCCTGGTACTGTTTGTTTGACAGCCTCCTGTCGCTGCTTTGGGTTTTTTAGTTGACTTTGGACCCTGTGGATCTGCTGCCACCTTCACATCTTCCTGCTCAGTCTCTTGTACTGCTTGAGATATTTGGGGTGATCCAGCCAAAGAGACAGATTAAAAAAAAGAGAAGGAAAAATTTAAGAAAGAAAGAAAAGAAAGAGAAGCGCTACCAGTGCGTGAAGCCACTGAGAAGCAAGTTAAATATATTGTAAAATCATTTTCTCAAGGAATTAAACAGGAGAAAAATACAGAATAAACCAGAATAGGACAAAAGGATGGAGTATTTTTAATGGAATCCTTTATGGTTGGTTCTTATTCTCTAGACAAGGTGTGGACTTGATGTCCCTCTCAAGGCCCGCCTGTATGGAGGAATCCTTGGTGCTCTCTCAGCTTGCTTGTTTTCTTGCAAACATTTCATTACCCAAACTAGGTAACATCATCAGTGCTAGTCCACCTGTACCGTTTGCTATCTTCTCCTCTAGGAAGGAAAGCATATTTTCTAGGATGATGGGAGAGCCAGAATTTCCCACCATGTACTGCAAGGAATAATTCTGGCAATCACAGGCTCTGCTCTACTGGAGAAAACATGAAAAACTGAAATGCAATGACTCTTACAGGATCCCAAAGGAACACCTAACTCTCAGGCATACCCTTAGAAACTAAAAATGGTATGTGGCTGAAAAACACTGCTTATTTGGAAGTGTATATATATAAAAAGATAAAATAAACCGAGAATGTAGGGACATATCCTGATGAATAAGGAAAAATAGCAAGCGGCTATTTCACTAGATTTTTTTTCTTCATAAATGATCCCATGACACTCATTTAATGAACTAACACATTCTTCCCATGTGCTGAGAATATCCAGAACACAGTTCCAAAAATTGGCATTATCCCCATTGGTCCAAACTTTTTGGCAATGTTTTCTGTAAAATAAATGAAAATCACCCAGTTTCATAGTATAGTCAGGGTTCCTCTTTTGAAACCGATACATATATGTTTCAAAAATCTATGACAAAAAAGAGAAAGAAATTATAAATTATATGATTATGTTGGGCATTATAAATCCCCAACAGCATATGCCAAATATGGTATAACAGGGAGAAATGCTAATCTACCCCTAAATGTTTTGTGAAAAATATGACTCCCTGCTCCTAAAATATGTTACATCTCTAACGCATAATACCTAATAATAATGTTTATTTATTTAATACTGCAATCATATCAACCTCTCAGCAGATCACAACAAAACAATTTAAACAACAATATTATTGCTAAAATGCCCACCTTAAAATTAAACTAAACCACTTACTAAAACTATATTGCAAAACAACAGTGTGTCAAGGATGACATTAACCAAAACATCCAACAGCATTGTCATACTTCCTATATGCTCTACAAAATTTCAAACAACATTTGGAAAGCTAATATGGGGGTAAATCTGATGTCCCAGGGGTGGCGACTACTCCAGAACACCAGTGTTCCCATTGGAACGCTTGTTGACCAAGAAATCCTTGGATTCCTTTTCTAAATGTTACTATTACAATTTTAGACTTTTCCAAAGATATGCAGTTTCATAGATATGTCTGTTCTTTCTCAAATGAATCTTATTTACAAAAAAGTGTCTTTTTAAATAGCTTCAGCATCTTGTTATTCTAAATCTGGCAAGGAGGAGAAGCCAGGATGCTAAACTGACTTAAAAAACAAAGAGATAACTAGCACTGAAGTCCATTTTAATGATGGAACAAACTTTATTTTCTTAAAGGAATACTGAAAAACAGTATTATAGTAATACAGTATTACGTAATATTCAGTAATACTATTCTATTTCTTTGTGGATAAACCCCACTGAACTTCATATGATTTAAAAGGAAACTGCAAATGATTTCCCCGTTGACTAATAAATACTCCTAAAATCTGAAGTAGATTGTAGAATATATTACCAGTGAGAATGACTCACCATATCACTTAGTTTCATAGATCTAAAGTGTTCCTAAATAAATTACTTTATCAGATGGTTATTACAAAGTGAATGTTTATTTGAATAATTCATATATATTTGCAATCATCACTTCATCTATGATCTGACCATTATTCTTAACACTGTATACTGTAGCTGTATGAATATTCAGAATTTTTTTTAAAAAAATCATTGGTCTTGTGAAATTACCCAGGATGCACTTAAACCTAGCAAAGCAAAGCAAAAACATTGCAAGTAATCATAACTTCTCGTTATATCAAAACCAATGGCATCTTAATATGCTAGGATTTAGTAGCCAACTTTTAACACTGGCTTACTTCAAAAACATTAAGTACTGTATAGTTCCTTGTAATTACTAGTCACCAAACTATATTTAGTGATGGTAAAAGGGCAAGAAGTGGGTGCATGAATCTATTGCTTCATGGTTCTTATTGAACAAGTATCTGATCGTTCAAACTGAAGTTATATGTGATTATAGGAATATTTTCTTTCTCAGCATTCTAGAAATAAAGCTGGTGAATCCTAACAAATGTCAAACATTCATTAAAGCATGTAATCTGCAGACCCATTTACATGCGTTGCTACTCTACTTATTCTAAGACATACACAAACTTTTTACAACTGCCACTTGTCTTCCTATTATATCAGTAATTGGAGTCTTTAATTAGCATTTAGCCAGAAGCTATTACTGTGAGCAGCAGTTTGAGGAATTAGTATTAAAGAGAAGGAATTATTTCAAAGGTTATTAAAGCTTAAGTTTTCATGCGTATGTCAGCAAGAATGTGAGCAATCCACCTGCCCTTTTATGATCCAAGATGGATCTTAATGATTCTATACAAAAGAGTAGACAAACAAAATTGTGGTCCAGTCCCAAGTGTTTTGGACCACAACTCCCAAACTAAAGGAAACAACGGTAACTGGGACCAGTATTTCTGTTACTAAGCAAAGTGGTCGTAAAGCATGACGTTATGTGCCAACATCAGTTAGCAACAACAACCCTGCACTTCTAGGTGCCATTGTAACCCCAGGACTGAGCAGGTCTCTAAGTGGGAAGATGTAGGAGTCCCAGGTAAGATGGCCAGAGGATGTTGTGGGAGATGCCAGGGGCAGGAACTAAAGCACAGACAAGTATCACAATGGTTGGGGTGTCACATGTAGGCTCTATGGAGTGCAGGTGGGCAAAAAAAAAGCGGGAGTCAGAGTGACTTCCTGCTAGCTTCCCCATTGACTTTGTTTGTGGGAAGCTGGCAGGGAACATCAGAATTACAATCATCTGACTGCTGCTCACTGCAACATAATTGTGAGCCAGGCACTGAGCAATCACATTACCACAGGGATGCTGCAATAATTGCAACTACATAGGCCAGTCATAAGTCTCCCTCATTAAGTGCCGCTGGAACTTTGAATGGTCGCTGACCAACTAACTTGAGGAATACTTATAATTAATACTGTCATGTTAGCTGTAGTTTAGAGAGAGGCAGTAGTTCAAAGCATTTGAAGAGCACAAAACATTCTCTTTTGGATGCTTAAAATCACATCCTTTGTGATAAAAACAACAAAATGAGGCTTTCAAGTGGGCTTCTGCAGGACTGCGGTAGGGAGGAAGAGGAAAGGGAATGACCAAACATCCATGATAAAGTCATGATGAAACATGCTGAGTTCAATGCTGTTGATCTTCTTAGCGTTTCTCCTGTATATTTGGGTCCTCCACCTATTCTTGCATTGTTCTTGTTCTTGCCTAACTTCTATAGCAAAGCCATCAATAGTGATGCCATGATGGATTTTGTTTATCAGCTGGCTTGTCAGGGAGCCTGACATGTATTAACATTAATATTAGCTCTATTATATTAATGTATCATTTTGTATTATTTGTTACTACTGTGATTTGTTTTACTATATTCAAACATTTATCAATGAATGGTTTATCAAAGCAGCCTCCATAGCCAATGCAACAATAGCAAAGATACAATATACAGTAAAAGAGATTTACAATAAAAGTGCTTTAATCAGATTAAATATCAATATCATTTGCTACCTACAGTTTCATGTGATTCAGGTCATAGTAAATTGCTTAATTAATAAATATAATTATTGTGAATATTTTACTCTGCAAGATAAAAATGCCATTTCTAGTGAAATCTTATATGTCTAACTAGAACTAAAGCCCCAAACTGGGTTTAGTGTGGCTTCTGGCAGATCAATAGAGAGAAAATTCTAGCCTAATTATATAGCTTTTGCAAGTTCCTATGGTCCAGTTTGTAACAAGCCAAAGATGTACTGAATTGATATTTCTTATTTTAGAAATCTCCCAGTACAATGCAATATAATACATAGTGTGGAAAGTACAGTTTTCTTCATGACTGCTAGTGAAACTAAAGGCACACAATGCAGTATCTGCCGACAAAAAGATAGCTATTAATTTGAGTAACAAAAAAACCTTCTATGCATCTAGCTTTGCTGATATATTCTGAGTGAACTTTTGCAAGCTCCAAAGAAGCTAATTATGTGATAGTTTAAAAGCCATTCTTCTGAAGAGGTGGCCTTAAACCAGAATATAGAAATGATGGAGGGAAGCAACTTGGAAGACTAATTAATGGGACTGCCAAATAAATAGCAAGAAACACACATATTGCTAGATTCCTGTTCCAATTAGTGTTATATTGTTAGGTCCAAGAATGACACCTAGAGATATTTCTGAGCAGTTTATTGTTGTTCGCCTATATACAGAAATCTTGCCAGACTGAAGTACTTAACTGCATAACTATTAGATCTGCCCTTGAATGTCTAGGCGGGGGAGAGGACCGCCTTTACCTATATATCAAAGATTCCAAGCTCCAATATTTTTTCCGCTGTCTGAGAAACAGCTCCTCCCTCCTGTGATTCTAGACTACATTCCACCTCATATATTTTAGTATATTTTGATATCAGAAAAATATTTTTCTTGTTTAAAAAAAATCAAGAATTCCTTGATTCCTTCAACAATTTTGAGATGTGGCACAATTTCTTTAGTTGCCAAATTCAAGAAATGCTACAGCAGGGATTATATGTGGTACAGGCCTCTACCTACATGGAGGGATTGTTAGGCATATCAGCCTGCAATCAACCTTACCAGTTTCCAGCCAAACAGCTTTCCAGCCTCAGGCAAGCTATGGTAGGGATTTTCCCTGTGTTTATTTCTTGATAAAGGGGTAAGTCTCAAATGGCCAAAACAGAAATGATAAACATCTGTGCCCACAATATAGAATACTCCATCCAGAATGTTATGTAAACACTGCATATTCTAAGCCTACAGAATTTATAAACTGACTGCATTAAGGAAAGATCCACAAACAAGTGGATTTTTGGTTATTGCATTCTATTAGGTTACTGGTTGTCGTCTTCTCCTTCCATCTTTCCCAACATTACAGCATTCTCCAGAGCTTGGCTTAATATATCTGAAGTAAAATAATTTGACCCTGGTCATTTATATCTTGAGCGAAAACTCTGAATTGATTTGCTCAATGATCTGCTTGTTTGTTTTCTACTAGACTACAGCTTATTAATAAAAGCAACAGCCTTTGTTTCCTGAGACAATTTGAGGGAGAAAAAAAGAATCTCTATGGGAGGGACAGAAAGCATAAATAAAACATGATTTATGCTAAATAAATTAGTACAGAATCCAATTACCCTTTGCCGAGCGGGCTATGAATTTATATGAATTCATTCTGAACTGCATATATAAATGATGAGGCATGTGTGGAGCGGCAATGCTTCATGGAGCTGCCTCAAGTTAGATCAAAGGAATGATTTGATCTGTGGCAAGATGCTCCACCTCAGCAGCACTCATCAAAGCAATGTATGTTCTTTCAGACGGCTGCTTTTCCAAAACTGCTGGAAGGTCTTTGTACCTGTGCAGGTCTTTGTACCTGTGCAGATTGACAGAGGCCTTCCATGAGTACCAAGCACCTCAATGTTTCATAAAGCCTCCTCAAAACCCACTTCAGCTGAGGCTTTGAACAGGTCTTTGAAACTGGTAAAATCTTCAGTGCTGTTATCACCCTGCCTAGCGTCTTTTATTTGTGCAACAGGCAATCATATACCATGTTTCCCCCAAAATAAGACCAGGTCTTATTTCGGGATAGGCCTTACCTCACCTCTGGCACCCACAGCCCCACCCAGCTGGTCCACTTCTTCTGGAGCCAAAGTTCTGCAGCTGCATTCAGGCCTGCATTTTGCAGTCAGGCCTTTCCAGAAGGTCTAAGTAGCCGAGTACCGAGTTATGGATTCTTGGTGCTCGGCTGCTAAGGTCTTGCAGAACCAAGCTATGGATTGAATCCATACTCAGTTCTTGGCTGCACAGGCCTTCTGGAAAGGCCTGTGATTGAGAAATGCAGGCCTGGCTGCAGAAGAGGCCTCAGAAGAAGTGGGCCGGCAAGGAGAGGCCTGGCTGCAAGGTAAGTGGGTACAGGACGGGTGGGGCAGCTCCACACCCCCACTCCAGTTTGATTTTTAGGTGTGTGCCTCACCCCAAAACTAAGGCTTATTTTTAAGATAGGGCTTATATTAGGCCCACCTCCAAAAATCAAGCTAGGGCTTGAGGTAGGTGTAGGCCTTACTTTTGGGGAAACATGGTAGCAGTGAAAAAAATAATAAATATTTAAATCAATTCAACATGAATATAACTAGTACAAGTAGTCCTCAACTTACAACAGTTTGTTTTAGTGACCTTCCAAAGTTACAACAGCATTGAAAAAAGTTACTTATGATCATTTTTCACACTTATGACTGTTGCAACATCCCCATGGTCACCTGATCAAATTTCAGGTGCTTGGCAACTGACTCACATTTATGACAGTTGCAGTGTCCTGTGGTCACATGATCACCCTTTGTGACCTAACAAGCAAAGTCAATGGGGAAGCCAGATTCACTTAATAATTGCAGTGATTTTTTTTTTGTTTTTAACAAATGTGGAAAGAAAAGTCGTAAAATGCGACAAAATTCACTTAACAAATGTCTCACTTAGCAACATAACTTTTGGGCTCCATTGTGGTTGTAAGTTGAGGACTATCTGTATCAACTTTCTATTAAGTTAAAATTTATTCTTATTGTGTAAAATGAAATGATTCTCAGAGATATTTATATCTTGCCAGTCCACAGAACATTGTACAATAAATTGCTATATACCATGATAGATAGTGCTGCTGTTACTATTGAGGTAAGACTCAACCAGTGGTGCTTGTTCTTCAGATTGTTTCATTCTACGGGTCCTTGTGCGGCTGTCTACATTGGACTGAACCATCATTGGTTCCTGACGTTTCTTCTTCTGCTTCTGTTCTAGCAATGCTCTCTACAAAGAATACAAAGGAACAAAAAAAACCAGTTCGAATGCTACAGCAGGGTAACTGCAAACATAAAGTTTGTTATGTATCATGGTTGATGTACTGAAACAAATGTTATCCTGTTTGATTTTAACACTATCAAAACATCATCACTTTTGCTAATACCTGTGTGAAAATAAACACTACTTACAGTATTGAAGAGAAAACAATTGAAAGCTAGATATTTCAAATAAAAACAAGAACAGGAAGCCCCTCAGAAGTAGGTGTTGTATAGGACTGTACTCCTTTACCCACTTAACTGGAACCAATCTAAAAATATGGCATAAAATTATGGCTATCTTTCCCAATAGGCTTAAAATGTAAGTGCTCCATTTCATGACTGTAGCATGAATTCTCAGATTAATTACTAGATGAGATGCAACAAAAACTTTTTAAAAAGGAACAATGTAGTGAACTCAGTAGACAACCCCAAAACATTCCATGAAGTGGGCTTCAGTGACTCTAGCCCAAGCTCAGGGCCTTAATGACCTTCTGGCAGGGAAACCTTAATCCAGAGGGTAGGAGTTTCAACAGAGAAAATACGCTTCCTGGGTCCTCATAACATTGTTTGATCAAAGAAACTTGAAGCATATCCACCCTGTCAGCTTGATTTGGCCACACAGATGTCATAGCAAATTAGTGAGTGCCTCAACGAAGCCTTATGCACTTGGAAACAAACTGGCAACCAGCACAGCTTGCAGGATAGAGGCATCATGTACGGATACCAAGGCATGCTGATAACTGCCAATTCTACCACATTCTGAACCAGTTGACGTTTCCATGACGTCTTTGAGGGCAGTCTCAGGTTAATAGACAAGCTGTGAGGTGACTACACTACCTGAAGAGCCTCTTGATCTAGGAAGGTTCACAACTAATTGTGGATGGAGCTGAGCAAAGGCCTTCCTGTACAAAGCTGCCACCTGCTCATCAAACAGGAGTTCAGAGTCCATGAAGATCTCCAGATTGTGTACACTCTTCAATAAGAAGACTAAGCCCCCAGCAACTTTATCAGACCTGTCAAATTGGAGTGGATGTGAACAATTTTATGTGCCAGATAGCCAGAATGTTCCTCACAGCAGCCCTAGATGATCCTGTGGCCAATCCTTACCTAATAGGAACAAGCATATCCTAAACAAGGCCACTGAACGACTATCCACTGATACAATAAGGGTAAAGAAATAATGTTTTGCCACTTACTACCACAAAGTCATCCCTAACATCCCTAAATGACCCCATGTTGGGTTACACTTATTCTGAATTCCTTCAAGAAAAAGGATCTAATA